GTTCTATAAATTAATGGGGCTCTGTCCTCGGGTTGCTCTGCCCTGTCCTGAGGTTGTTGCCCTCCTGCTCCTTCTTCATGGGAGACTTGTTCCCAGGCGCCTGCGCGCCCTTTGCTCCGAGCTGACCTTGTCAGCTGTCCCCTGTCCTTCTGCTCTTTTTCTCTTCCTTCTCCATTTCTTACTGATTGCAATCAAAATAATCGAGATAATTTCGGAGGCTCCTCTCTTCCCTGCCTGCCTCCAAGCCCTGTCCCAACACGCTGCAATGATGCTCCTCTGTCATCCTGTGCAGGAAACTCCACGGGCAGCCCTGAGGACGAGAACAGCACGGAGGCAGAGCACAAGTGGCCAACGTGCAACGCCCAGGACGAGATGCTGAACCTGGCCTTCACCATCGGCTCCTTCTTGCTCAGCGCCATCACGCTGCCCCTGGGCATCGTCATGGACAAGTACGGCCCTCGCAAGCTGCGGCTGCTGGGCAGGTCGGTGTCCCGGGCACTAGGGTGGGCTGAGGGGTGAATTCACGTTTTATCAGAGGCTGGGGGGTGCTGTGCCTGTTGGCGTGTCCCTGAAACATCAGGAACCTTATGGGGGATTGGGCTGGGGGCTGGGGGCTGTGTATGGGGTGCCTGAGCAGCTCTGGGATGGTTTTGGCCAGCACTGGGCAGCACGATGAGTTGTTCCACAAGGGAAGGGCTTTGGGACTCCGTGTCCAAGCTTCAGCTCTCCAGCGTTGCTCCCTGCTTCCCGGCCAGATGGAGCCTGGAGGAAGAGCGGAGTCACTTGTGAGTCACAGCAGCTAGCTTTTCCCCTTCAGCTATGTCCTGAGAGGCGCAAAACCAAGATGTTACATCAGAGCTCGCAAGCTGGGGAGTTAACTCTGAGATAAACCCGTCCTGCCTGCCTTTTCTGGGTCCCCTCTGTGCCATGTGGTGTCTGCGTTGCTTTCTGTCCCCGATAACAGTGTCACTCGCAGCTCCTGCCGTGGCACGGGAGGATGTGGCTTGCTGGGAGCAGTGGGCCCCAGCGCTGCTGAGTTTTATAGCACTGAACTGTACCAATACCAAACTGGCCGGCAGGCAGGGTGGAAAAAAGAAGGGCAAGCCTGACTCAGACCCTACCTGCGAGGAGCTGTGACCGCAGCTGGGTCACAGAACTGAGGCTGCTGCTGTCCTTGGTCACCTCGAGGGGATGACTGGGCAAGCTCCGTGCTGGAAAAGCAGCGGGGCATCTGGGTTCAGCAAGAGCTGTGCCAGAGCAGTGGGAGGGAATGTTGCTGCTTCAGCCCTTGTGCAAGGCTTCTCGGTAATCTGCGGGTATTTCCCTTGATTTTTGTTTCCAAATCGCCAGCTTCCTCACATAAATTATACAGCGCTGGCTTAACGAGGTGCTGAGGAGGGAGAGGGATGTGTAATTTATTGCACGTAAGGCCAGCCGGAGGACACTCATGGTTTTGGTTCCCTTTCAGCGCCTGCTTCGCTGTGTCCTGCGTGCTGATCGCATACGGTGCCAGTAACCCTGACTGTAAGTAGGCATTTGGTGCTGAGTTTGGAGGGTTTTGGGGTTGCGACACAATTTTTGGGGTGCAGATGAACATGCATGGAGCTGTGTGCTCCACATGCAGCCCTGGGGTCTCGCTGGGGACACAAACCAAGGGTCTGCTGGCCTGGGAGGCTGTAAGTGCTTGGCAAGGGCCAGACGCCTGAGATAGCCAGGTCTCCCCCAGCTTTGCACTTGGCCAAGTGCTGTAAGGAGCAATTTCAAGCAAGTTCCTGGCTTTTCCAGGGTTGGGAAATGGGTAATAGCACACCACGTGTAATCTGCTTTCTCACTGGGGATGGCTGGAGCGTGCTCCTCAAGACCAGATAGTGCGATGACACTTTGAACCCAATTCCTTCAAGTACATCTTGCTTCTGGGACCCATTCAGAGAAGCTACATCAGCAAGCCTGCTCCCTAGAGAAAAGCCCCTCTCTCGCTGTGTGGCCAGGGAGATGGGTGCTGGTGGGATGAGCTGGGCTGGAAGGAGTGTAGCACATCCAAAGGGTGCTGGTCCTCTGAGGTTTGCATGTTGCCCTTGATGGCACATTGGTCTCCTTCCCCTCCCCACCCCAGTAAAGCCTCTTGAGCTTTTTTTATTCTGTTGCAGCTCTGTCTGTGCTGATATTCATTGCGCTGGCTCTGAACGGCTTTGGTGGGATGTGCATGACCTTCACATCGCTCACGGTAAGCAAAGAGTTACCATCTGACTCTTATTTTATTCCTTACTGTGGCTGTGAGCTGGGCTAGCAGGAAGGAACAAAGTGGATCTCTTGCCTGCGGCTCAGGTAGCACATGGCTCTGTTTGGAACAAAGGGTCAGTCACACTTTTACCTGAAAGGCTGGCTGTTAGCTGGTTAGTCTAAGGCTTTTTTTCTCCATTCCTTTATTACCTGCCTCTTGCATCTCAGATGGAGGTGAAAAAAATAAGATTTTTTTTGGCTCAGGCTCAGATTGCTGTGTGCCTGTACACGCAGCGCCCAGTTTAGCTTCGACAAACAGAAGAAAGCATCAGGAGGGTGCAGAGCCCTTGCAGCAGGGCAGGACCAGCTTTTTGTGAGCGCTTTTTGCACCTCTTCCCCTCTGTTTTCCAGCACAAAAATGTTGGCTCTTGGAAGGGTGAGAGTCCCTTCCAGGTTTCCTTAGAAAAGCCGAGCTGCTGAATGCCCCCGGCTCTGTCTGCGCAGCTGCGTGGGTCGCTTCAGTCCGTGGGTTGTGTTACAAGCACTGGTCAACAACTGTCAGCTGGGTCCCTGCGTTTTGGGGTTCGTGTTGCCTGGAGAGAGAAGCGGTATCGCTCTCCAAGTAGCTGCTTGATTTTCCACCTCATTACCCTTGTCAGTGTGGCTGAACCAGGGCCGGGTGGAAAGGCTCCTAGAAAAGAGCCTGGGAAGCACTGATTGAAAACTTCCTGATTTGGACCGCGTTACCTTGGGCTCGCTGTTAAAAGTTAAAGTCATAGTTAAAGCTACCTCTAATTTAATGTGGATTAGGCCCTGGCTGAACTCCTGAGACCTACTTTTGGCAGAGACTGGGTTTAGAGATCACCGCGTGCGCTGCGATGTTGTTGCTGCTGTTGCTTTCGTATTCAAAGCTTTCAAAAGTGTGTGCAGATGTCGGTCTCACGGCTCTATGTAATGTTCTTCACTGGAAGCCTTGGCCATGCTCCCAAAGAACTGTGGGGCAAAAGTCATCCTGCCACACTTCAAAAACAAGCAAGGAAGAGAGGAGCACATTGGTACCGTGGGGAGAGAGGAGAGGATTCCCATCCTGCAGCTGCCAGCTTTGGTTATTGTCTCTCCGGGTGGTTATTAAGGGGTCACAGATTATTTTTGAGCCACTGGTGTTGATAGGAGGAAGGGCAAGGGTAGGGCTGAGACTGGATGTGCTGTACCGTGGCGTTTAGCAGCAGAAGAAATAAGTAAAGCCACTTATTAGCGCCCTCGTTAGCGAGCCAGTTTCACAGCACAGAGGAAGTAAGGCTGCAGGAAAAAGGTCAAATCTGCCAAGAAGTGATCCAAGCCTCGGGGAGGGCTGGAGCGAGTGGCAGAGCTGTGAGTTCACGCGGGGAGACCGCAGGTACAGTCGGCTCCTCCAGGCAGCGGTGTGCGTTACGGGGAGCTGGGATGGCCTCGGGTCCAAATCCCCAAACCCAGGCACAGGTAGAGCTGCACGTGCCTCCGTGCAGTGGCATTGCAGCACCTGAGGCGTGTAAAAGTGATTAAAAAGAGTCCAAAGTGTGAGGGAAGCACCTCACCTGCACCGTGACGTTGCTGCGGCCGGTGACTTACAAGCACGTGTTTTGCTCACCACCGTGTCCCTGCATGGCTCTGCTTGCGAGCCACGGTTCGTGCCTCGAGTCACCTTCCTTGGTGGCACGAGGATCTCTTGCAGGTCCCTTCCAGCCATGGCCCCTGGGGATGAAGAGGGAGGGACGTGGGGAGGGCAGGTCATTGTGCAGGGGTGGTGAGTGGGAATCGGCACCCGGTGCCAAGTGGGCTCGTTCTGGCTGACGCCGGCTGCCGAGCACACACGAGTCAAAGCAAAGTGACTTCCTCATCCAGCCAGCGACCTGGAACGCCCTAGGAAATGGGTCAAACCCACTGGTGCATGAGCTGGTCCCGTGCCATCCCCGCGTGGCTGTTCGGTGGCAGGGTGGGCACCTCAGGTCCCCATGCGCCACGGTCGGGCGCTTTTTGGATGCTGGGGACACCCACAAGCTTGGGCACGGTGGGGTCTGATGGTCTTCTGCAAGGGTTTAGGGAAGGGGACAAACGAGATTGCAGCCCCACAAAACGTGCCCCTTGGATTTGAAGGGTTTTTCAGCAACAAGTCCCTGGGGTTTGCCAGCAGCGCGTGGCACCCTGCAGGGCCGGGCCGCCTGCGCCGGGTGCTGCGGCTCGGGGAGGAGGGGGAGCAAGCAAGAGAGCGGCGGCGTTCCCGCTTCTGGGAACAAGGTCAGGCTGTGCCTGCTGTTAAAATGCAGAGGGGGAGATTTCTGCCTCGTGACTCTGTCTTAGCCAATATAAGGGGAGATTGGAAATGGAAACAGATCCGTATTGGTGGCTCTGACAGCAACACAGGAATCTGGCGCTGGTTCTGCTCCGGAGCTATTTCATGCAAAGAAATAAACATGTGTGATAAATTACCACAAAGAGCCTTTTATAGATTGTTTTCTGTCCTGTTTTCCTTTCAAAGAACTACAGCTGCTTTGCTCTTATTTTCTGCTGCAAACAGCGCCCTTTGGTCGGGGCGGGGGGGGATCTCTGCATAGGGAACCTTCTCTGCTCGGAAATATTAGCAGTATTTAGGGCTCTGGGGTCTTTTGTTGGAGAACGGGAACAGGAATTTCCATATGCCTCGGACAAAGCGGGCAGTTTGTGGCTTTCCTGGAGAACAGATTTTTATTGTCGGTAATATTTCCAAATATACCTCCTGATAGGCAAACCAAAGTTTTCCAGTTCTCGGTCCCTTGACTTTTTTCCACTGTTCTTTCAAGAAGGAGGGGCACTGGGCTTGGTAATGCCACTGTGGTGGTTTTTGTGGTGTCCTTTGCATAGGGGCTGTCTCCAGGGAAAAGCTGAAAAATTGTAAAACTAATTGAAGGTTTTAAATCGCTATAGGGTAGATGAGGAGAAAATCGTCTGCAAGAGGAAACGAGGAAGTGATTTTATCAGTTTAGGATTGCAAACCTGTAATAAAGGACTCCAGGAAAAAATAGCTATGGTATGGCAAAATTCAGTTAGTATCTTTCAGACAGGGCATAAAGTTAATTATACATTGAGCATTATTGACCTTTAAACTGAAGACATAAGAGTTTCTTCATGGTAGATCTTCTGGAATTGAGACACCCGTACCAGAATAGGCAGAAGTTAATGGAGGAGTCTGTTCGGGCCTGTAGGAGTAAGGTCAGACTGAGGATCAGATCTTTTTGGTGGCAGAAAAGCAAAGAGCCTACTTGCTCTGTGGTTTGGTTTGGTTTTGTGTTTTGATGTTTTTTTAATTATTATTTTCTTGTCCCTAGGGTTCATATTTTTCCAGTGCTCACTGCTGTAAAGACAGCTGGAAACATGGCTTAGTAAATATTGTATGTTAGTTTGGTAGCTGGTCTGCAGAGACCTGCACAGGCATTGCCAGCGCTGGCACTGGCAGTCTGAGGGTTTTTATCTGGGTCTGGGCTATTTTTTCTTTGCCTCCCCCCTGTCCCCTCAGGTAGTCTCGGATTTCCTTTCCCCCCCAGAGCTCAGTGTTAGCAGTTGCAGTTGATAAGATCTTATCCAACCCAATGAATCTCCTCTATCCAATTTTCTTTAAGCCAGCCACTTGCTTGGTGCCAAATAGGATTTTAGGAAGCCTCAAGCCTTTCTAGGACTTGTGTCCCCACCGAGGCAAAGCAGACTCGGGTTTCCCAGACGTGGCTGCTTGATTTTGGGTTTGCTCTAGGTCTCCGGTAGCCCCCAGAGCAGGAGGATCCACCTGGGAGCTGCTTGTCTGCTTATGAAAAAGGCCTTTTGTGATCTCTGGGGCTCCGGGGAAAAGCAGCCGGAGCCAAGAAGCAGCTGTGTTTGTGAGCTGCCCAGCAGCAGCAGCTGTTTGTTGTAATTTCTGGAGATTGTTTTAGGTCTGGGGCATTCGAGATGAAACAAATGCCCTGCTTGCTGATGGTGACCAGCCCCTGCAACCTGCAGCTATTTCGCTCTGCAGATGCAGTTTTCTGGGCTGTGTATTTTAGGCCAGCGCTCCCAGGGAGGGATTTTTGAGCCTGGTAACAGACCTTTGGATCCTTTGCCGTTTCCTGTCTGCAGCTCCTGAAAGCAGCCTGTTGGCAGCGCTCCCGGATGCGGGGATCTGGGGCTGGGTGTGGGGATCCTCTCCGCAGAGGAGCGCGGTGTTTTCTGCCTCCTCCGTGCCTGCTCGGGGCTCAGCATCGGGCTCAGCGCATCGCTGCTGCTGTTCCTGGGCTGGGGTTATCCAAGGACCTGGAGGCTGCGCTGCATAGAAAGCTCTGCAGTGAGACAGGGAGAGATGATAAACAGCCAGATGGATCCCGGAGCGTTCCTGCGCAGGAATACTTGTGCTGTAAACAGGCTGGTCCCATCATGACACGAGCCAGATTCACTTGCCTTATATGCTGCTCCTGGGAAAGATGGATTTGTTTTCCAGCAGCGAAACGGGAATGCGATGAGAGCATTTGCTTGCTCAGGCTCCAATATTCTCTGAATCATTTTGTTCAGCTGTCTCTGAAAACAGATAAAACGCTGGTTAGGCTTTCGGTCCTAGAAGGCACCCACAGTGCCTGGCTTAGAGGCCCCCCGAGGCTGATGTGGTGATGATGCCCAAGTGAATTTGGGGAGTCGGTGACCTGAGAAGGGAGGCGGGAGGGAAATCTGGCTGCCTGAAGCAGAATCTCTGCCCACTGAGCAGCTTCAGGAGGTCACAGCTCAGCTCTCTGCACTCTACAACTTCATGGCTTCTCCCAGTGATTTTCAGCTAGCAGGCTGGTGTAGAAAAATGGGAAGTTCCTCCTTTCCCATGAGCAGGAAGGTCTCGGGGCTTTTTCTGCCTGCTCAGCTTTGCTTTCGGGTCCCAAGTGGAAACAAGGGTTGGAGAGGCAGTCTGGGGAGAGCTGCTGAGCTGGCTGAACTGCTGCGTGAGGTGCTCCTCGCTGCCCTGCCGAGAGCTTTGCTTTCCCAACAGCTCCTTGCAGAACCAGCCCCGTCTGCTCCCAGCGGTGCCGTTGCACCCGATAGGAGCTGAGTCTCCCTTGCAGAGAGCCTGCCTGCACAGGGGGACCTAGCAAAGCAGTTTTTCGTCCCTGTTTCTTCCTGTTATAACGGGAGCTTTCTGATCTACTGCATGGATCTGGGTGCTGACCCAAGGTGTGTAAGCAGTTCGAGGTGTCGCAGGGTGTGTTGGAGATCATTCAGCTCTCGCAGACCATGTCTAGCAGCTCTTGCCTGGTGACTGGCAGAGAACTCGAGCGTGTATTTTTGGAAAGGAAAAGAGGTGGTGGCTGTAGCCTCAAGGAAAGGAACTCAAAGAAAGCACAAGGGCTGGAACAAACAAGCCTGTGCTAAAGGTGACCAATGCGAAGCATGCTGTCAGTCTGGAAGGAAGCAGTATCGTTAGGCACATAAATCTTGGGTTGTGGACATTCCCTGACACTGGAGACACCACTGTAACCTGCAGGGCACTATCCTGAAGAGATGAGCTGTTCTTGAAGAAAACTGGTTTCTTCGGGCTCTGGTAGCCAGAAGTCTTGATCCTAAATGCCAGTAGCTTCTCAAGAGAGCCTCCTTCCTTCTTTTTGCCTTATTTTCCCTTCCCAACAGCAACCTGTTTCAACCGATTTTTCTCCCCCCCAGCTGCCCAACATGTTTGGTGACCTTCGTTCCACGTTCATTGCTCTGATGATTGGCTCCTATGCTTCCTCTGCTGTGACCTTTCCAGGAATCAAGGTGAGGCTGTGGGACCGTGACTCATTCCTGGTGCTGTTGTGCCGGGGTTTTGCACCATTTAGCAATAATGTGGAAAGAAAGGGACTAATTGTTAAAGCACTTTTTTAGAGATGCTTTTACGAGATTCAGTTCCTGTTTAAAGACTTCCCAAGTGCCTGTCTCAAGAACTCAACGAATACTGTAAAGAGGATGGTCTGTTTGCTAACATGCTGTAAGATCTTAAGGGTGTTCAGTAAGGAAAAATGAAGAGCTGATGATTACTTTTTAATGAAAGTCTGTTTTATTTTATATAAAAAATAGCTCCAGGTATTATGTGTATTTTTAACACATGTGTGTACTTCATCTGTTTGATTGTTGCCAATGGCTGGCTTTGAGCACTTCAGAGCTAGCAAACTGCATTGAGGGGAGAGAAGAGATGGTCACTTGGGCTGCCTTGGTGGTCCCTAGCGGTTCTGAACCAGTGACGGCTCCCTGCAGAGCTAGAGTAAGAGACAGATTAAAAGAAGGCTCTTCTCAAGGGTGCAGGGAAGCTCCTGTTGGCTTTCCAAGGAGGAGGTCCTCAGTGAAAACCTTTGGGAGCCATTTGTGATACAGTTGCATGCCATTGCAGGTGGAGGTCCTGTTGTCACTGTAGTTGTTGCTAAAGATGTGCATGTACAGCTGTCTCCAAGCCTGCGTGTCACAGAACTGTCCTTTCTCACTGTTTGTGTTAAACCCATTTTAAATATAGCGTGTTCTTTTCCACAACTTCCTTTCAGATGATATTCTAAGAATATCGAAGATCTTTCTGCTCTTACAGAGAAAACCATATTTCCTTGTGTTTTGTAGGTTATCTATGACTTTGGGGTCTCCTTTATCCTCATTCTGCTCGTGTGGGCAAGCTGTGCAGGGCTGGTTTTCCTCAACTGTTTCTTCAACTGGCCACTGGAGCCTTTCCCTGGACCAGAAGACATGGACTATACGTAAGCATCATCTAGATTAGCCGTGGGGGCTAATCCCATTCTTAATTCTCTAAAAAGTGGTGGCACAGCTAATATAGAGGAGTGGGTAGGGAATTCCTTTGCGTGTTGTTTATTGCTGCCATTTCTTCCGAGGCTGAGGATTTATGTCTGCCATTAGATTTTTATCTCGACTGGTGAATATCTGTGGAAAGTTGAACCTTCAAAGCATAGGAGTCATGAAGAAAACAATCTGCCAGAAGCAATAAGCATTTCTATACTGACCTACACCAAACTGGCCCAGGGCCTATATCTCTGCATCCAGACCCATTTGTGGGTTTGTAGATGAAAACTAGTGCTGTGAATCCACACGTAGGCTCATTCCTGCAACTCTGCTGCTTCTGATTCCCTACCCTGTGTTGCAGCTCTCATTCTCATTACTTCCCAACAGGGTGAAAATAAAGTTCAGCTGGCTGGGATTTGACCACAAAATCACCGGGAAGCAGTTCTACAAGCAAGTCACGACCGTGGGGCGCCGTCTCAGCGTGGGGAGCTCCATGAAGGGCCCCAAGGAGCTGACAGCCTTGCAAGAGAACAACAAGCTCTGTTTGTCCACGGTGGACCTCGAAGTGAAGTGCCAGCCCGACAGCTCAGGTGTGGTTCCCCAGGTGCCCCAGGGATGCTTGCTCTGGCAGAAGGCCGACGGCCTCTCTGCTCCACTCCAGACTTGTTTTTATCAGATAGTGTGATACGTGATCCATACGCTGCCAGGGCCATGTGCCAGCCTCTGTTAGCTAAATACAAGTTTAGTTATATAAGGGATCCTGTTAGTGTATGCCTGCCTAAACACACGGTATGTCGTTGCCAGTGGTGGGGACAACATCACGGGTACGGGTCTGGCTGCACTGAAGGACAGCGCGGTTGGTCACCGCCACCTCTTTGACTGCTGCCATCACCAAGCCTTCCTTACCTAGGGGTATTGCAAAACCAAATGGCTTGAAGTTTCCTTTTCACTCTAATCCACAGAATTAGGTGAGGCTTTCTCACTCCAGTTAGCGGTAGCCAAACTCCCAGCAGCTATCGCCACTCATTAAGGACGTTTGTAAGGCACCAGACAGTTGCTACCAGTAAATTTGGAGCTGCTACAGGCACACTGTGTTGGAATGACTAGCTAGAAGACCTGCTAACCACAGCCTCTTCTGAAAACATGCCCATCTAGAAGGGTATATTGTCTTCCTCAGCGACCCTCTTATTCCTTCTGCAGCTGCTCCCTCCTTCATGAAGAGTGTCTTCAGTCCCATCTTGCTGCTCAGCCTCATTACCATGTGTGTCACTCAGCTGCGGCTCATCTTCTACATGGGGGCCATGAATACCATCCTTGAGTTTCTGTCTGGAGACGAAGATCAAGGTAAGGGAACCTAGAGGCTTTTATCTGCTTCCTTGGAACGGGAAGCTGACCCAGACTCAGTCCTTGCAAGAGGCCAGTGTGCCTGATTACTCAGCAAATACACCATGTACGGCACTTACTGGTGTCAGAGTGCGGCCAGCAGCTGCTGGTAGGGTCTAGTGGAGGGCTGGAACTGGCCCAGGATGGAGGGGCAGGCACTTGAATGTCAAGCTAATTTTAGCCTGGTGTCTTTTAAATACTATTCCATGCTATTCCTCCAGATAACTTGTTGAAAGTAGCCTCTCAGGATGGACTGTGATAACTTTTTTTTTGTCACTGGGAAACCTATTTCATCAGGTATTTGCTTTGCTTATCCTAAGCAAGCACAAAGTGCAGAGCAGCTGACTCTCATGACTAATGGTTGGACTAGGTGTCTCGTCCCAAACAGGGGTGGGAGAAGTGAAGTCATTGCTGTTTTGTGCAGCTTGGTGTGAGCTGGGGAGGCTCAGGGGTGCTCACTGCGCTGGACTCGGCTGTATTTATAGCTCTGATTCAGTACATGGAGCAAACAGGAAAGAGTACATTAGTTTACTGTTGTTGAAAATACCCGGGATTGCAAAACAAGACTTGGCCTTTTTTTTTTTTTTTCTGTCCTCTGTAGTAAGATCCAGTTTGAACTTGTTAAATCTGGATTGCATGAAGCTGATAAATCAAGAGGCACTCCTCTGAAAACAGGAGTGAGCTCTGGGGGAGGGAAGGAAACTCCAAGTGCCCTGGCATTCCCTGAATTGCTTTGTTTCTTGAGCCTCTGACAGCCTGCAGCATTCAGCTCTTTATCTCCTGGCTCAAGAGCCAATTTAGACATTAAACAGTAAACAGGACAAACTTCACGCTGCCTACCTTTCCCAGCACAGCTCACTTTTCTGCTTACCTTGTAACTCTTTTGCTCTGATTTTTTTCCTTTTTTTTTTTTTTTTAAATCCTGGCTTGCTCTAGTTATTCCCCCCTCTTTACCCCAGTATTTTAGGATTAATATTAACTATTTATGCTGCCAATTCTGTTTAGATCAAGTTCTGTACTTGAAAAAAAGGATTGTGCCTCTTGGGTGACTTGTTTTTCTATGCCACCTTTGAGATTTCTTCCCATTTTCCCCCTCCTCCCCCCGAATGCAGCCTGGGCTCGCAGTGCAATCGGCTGTCTTGGTGTTTCCATGGCATCAGCAAAACAGTGGTATTGTCTGCTTGCAGCAG